TATTTTTGCTTTAGCTCAGTTTCACTTTTTTTAGATTTGATTTTTTTTTTAAATCTTTGTATCAGGATGCTGAACGATGGCGCGACAAACCTTTAATCTACCTGCGCGTCCGGAGAACGAGGGATCAGTGTTAAAAACCCAGGAACTGAAACGTGCGGGGGGGAAAAAAATAAAAAAACACTACTGGGAGGTTTTAAAGGTTTTTGACATTTTCTGCTCAACGACTAATCCAGATAAACGAAGGAATGACGGTGGATCTCGTGAACATTTCCTGCGTTGAGTGTTTGGTGCTAACATTAAGGTGCTTTCCACTGATTTATCTGAAAACCACGGTACTTACAAATGTTTTTTTTAAATCACTGAGTCGTTCATCTGGAGCCGAGGTTTTGAGAAGCTGTTTTCAGACACGAACTCTGGAGAATGTCCGGACGACCGCGTTTTATTTTGCGTTCACGACGACAGGAAATACAAGGGGGTGGAGCCTGAGCGTGCGAATCCCGCAGTGGAAGTCACATGGTTTTTTGTTTACAGCACATCGAAACTCTCTGGAATCTCGTCTTTTCCGTGTCGACCACTTCGTCTGCGTCTTCCACGTGTTAGGCTCCTCCTCCTCCTCGTCCTGAGGTATCTGTCTCTGTCAGAAACGTCAGCGTTCCAGAGAATCCGCGGACGTTTGCGTTCTCGCATACGAGCCCAGCTTCAGTGAACGTCTGGAAACAGCCTCAAGACCTCAGCCTTTGTTTTTTTTTAATCCTCAGGAGGTTTTCAGTCTCTAAACTGCATCTCGCTTGTTGTTTGATACTGAAACACAAGCTAATGACACACTGGCTAATTCCTTCGCTCATTTTCTTTCACGCTTTCACTTGACGAAGCGTCTTAACGAGGGACGAGAAGAACAATACCGACTCCTGCGGCCGGTTGTACCGAGGAGCTCTGAAACAATCTGAAGTCCCGTCGTCGGCTCAGGTGAAAGTTTTGCGTCGGTCAAACAAAAAGAACGGGGGAAAAAAAAACTCTTCGACCGAACTCGTAATGATTCGTGTTAATAATCTCGAGACGCTGCGTCGTTACCCAGAAGTCATCGCTGACGTTATCCGTTGTTTTGAACGGTTGATTCCACTCGTTTGTCTTTTCGTCGGTTATAAGATTTTCACTAACGCTGAGGCTGCAGGCGTTTCTTTCATTTCAGATAGTTGACTTTGGTTTATTAAAAAAAAAAAACGTTGGATCCTTATTTTGTTTTTAACCGGCTGTCCCTTTTTTTTTCTCTCTCTCTCTCTCTGTGACCTCTACATCTCCAAAAAAGCAGGATTTGACTTGAACACACACGACAGCAGGTTTCTTTTTTTTTTGTTTGTTTTTGAACTGCACCTTTTTTATTTTTTTTTTATTTTAAGCATTTTCATTTTTCCCAGGGCACGTGAACGGGACGTGTCCTGAGGTCTGTTCTGCGACTTCCTCCGTTACGATCGTCATCCTAACCTTAATGTGTGTGAGTGAATGTAGTCCAGCCAGTTGTTTTTGTAAGCACTGTAATTCCCTGTAGAGCTGAAGTGTAACGTGTGCGTAGGGGTTTCATTCTGTAACTACTGTCCTAGTAAACCAGAGACTAATATGTACATAATGTATAAGTGGTAATAGTGATGCATCTATTGTAAATATCATACAAGTTCTCTGACATCGTATGTTTTGTTTTTTGTTTTTTGTTTTTTCTTGATGCTGAAAACACTTTTGTGCAGGATCTCACTCGTCTGTTGATTCGTGCAATAAAAAGTGGTGGAACGTGCATCTACTCCGAACTCGTCCGGACTTTTATCTGATGCTGATTTTTATATTTGTTACCTGGGAAACTTTTTTAGACTATTTATTTTAAATTAATTGAAGAGATTAGAACTTTTGCATTAAAGCCGTAAACATTTGCAAAGACTAAATCTTACCTCTGAAGTTGAATCAGACTATTTTGGAAAATCTGTTCATTATTATTTCAGTTTTATGGTAAAAGTGAACTTGGATCTTAATTTTTTTTTTTTACTTTATTCTAAAATAATTTATTTTGTCTCTTCATCACTGAAGCATTTTGACTTCAGGTGACTTTTGAAACACCAGATCTGCTCTTTCAGATCTTGTCGTTGTCGGCAGACGTCATCGCGTCCTCTACTGTCTGAGCTGGACGCTGTCCGGAGACCGTCTGTCCTCTGAGGTACGTCTGCGGACATTTCTCAATTTGATTCAAAGGTGAACGGAACAGTTTCAAAGTCACTTTGACCTCAAACCTTTTACCCAAACACAGAATTCTAGTTTGCTCGTTAAGTGAAATGTTGGGTTTCTACTTTTCTAACGAGCCTGAAGATGATGCAACTCGGACTCACTGATTAGTGTTTAGAGGTCAAAGGTCACGGTGGCTCTTTAAACGTCTCAAATCTGATTTAAGGGAATTAATTCATTTTCACTAGTTGTCACTTGGACTCAAACAAGAACTCAGAACTCTTAACTATGAGGTAATGAATCATCACCACGTCGACAGTTTGAATCGTTGAGTAAAAGCAGAATTAGACACAGACTGACGTCTTCCAGAGTTTTTATTCCTCTTCAAGACAAAAAGACAAATCAAGATTCATTTTGCATAACAGTAGTAGTACAGCAGTGGCCGAGGGTACAAAAATGCTTATTCAATTTTTTTCAGTGTAAAAATATCTCTACCCAACCTCACACCTGTGCCGTCCTCTCGTAGTGCAAACGCTTCAAATAAAAGTTAGGCACATGATGGATACGATACGATCGCAGTTCAATTACACTTAAGTGCTGATGACGAGTCAAACGTCGGCCTGGATTCCTTTTTTGTTTCTCTGTGGATTCGGAGCGAACGATGGCGGCTGGAGTTTAAATATCGATTAAAAGGGCAGTTTGTAGAAACCGACAGAGTCCGACGTCAGGACGACGAATATCTGTTTCAGCTTTAATCGATCAAGTGCAACTGACTCACGGCCGAGTTTAATACTTTGCCCAAA